TGAACTGCAGGACCTCCCAGTGGACCATAGGAAGTGCAGAGATATCAATTGATGCCGTGATCCCCTCACAGTCAGTCCAGTAGATAGCTGAGAGAACTCACCTATGGAGGAATGTAATTTTTTTCAATATCTATTTCATTATTTAACTGCCAAGAAACCCTCTCCCAATGTCATGAATCCCAGTATTTGTTAAAGAATCATGTCCATACAAACAAGGGAAAATTCCCCAGGCCAGATATTTCAATGGTGGTAGCATGCAGAATAAAGGGACAGATTTCAAACAATAGTTGAATGTTTTCTTTTACTCACCAGGGAGTAATGCACCAATTTTCTCTCTAATTGAAGCAAGAAATCCACTTTTGCTTAAAGACGCAAGGTCTTCCTGAAATGTAACAAACACAAGTAATTAATATCATAACCAAAAGAGGTAATAATTTTGTATACAATACATTTTTTGCAGAAACCAGCTGATTTAAGCAGGATAAATGTAAGGAAACTACCCACATACATTTCACATTCAGTTGGACTGTGAGAGCTATCCTTACTTCTGAGAGTTTAATAGGATTATTTCCTATTTGCTTATATCCTGATAAATAATAAAATTCAAATAAATTTGTTCATCTATTTGAGGAGCATGAGGAGCATTTTTTAAATTTGTTTTGTATCAGGATATAACCAAATAGGAAACAATCCTATTACACACACACTCTCTCCCCCCTCTAGATTTTTCAGGTAATCTAGTTGTGCTCTGGTTAAATCAGACTTTTGTATAAAAAATATTTTAAAAATGTGATTTAATTTAATGCTTGACATACATAATAAGTTACTCAATCTGATGGCACGCTCTAAGAAAGAACAAAAGTGTACGACCTTTCCTTAGATATGAACATCAATTCGTTACTAAAATTACAAGTGTCATCCAATAATTAAGTCTCCTAATTTTGTTAAAAATACAAGTGGATTATTTACACTAGTGATTTTTTTCTCCATTCTACAACTTGTACACTACTTCTCCACAAAGTCACAATTACTGTTCAAACACGTTTTGTTTCTTGGCAGCAGTGTTTGATACCTTCAATGTACAAAGTTACGACAGTAACCACAGCCAGTGCTTCCACCTCTTCATTATTCTCAAGCTGCTTACCTCCAAGGTGCAACTTGAGTTGCGGAAAGAGATGGAAGTCACTAGAGTCAAGATCCGGAGAATAAGGGCGATAGGGAAAAACATCCCATTTGACGTTCTGCAACAAACCCTGGGGCCTACAATCTCCTTGGGGGCGTGCATTGCCTTGAAAGAGCAACAATTTCTGAGACAGAAAACAGAAAGTTTCTGTTTGAATGCACCTCTGAGGTTTGTAAGGACTGCCCAGTACTTCTCAGCTGTGATAATAGTGCGTTGGCACAGGTAGTCTACCAGTAAAACACTTAAAGAGTCCCAAACCACAGTAGTCATAACTTTGATGTCTTGGTCTTTTTTGGGTGCATGTTTGCCATATTTCTTCCTTACCATAACCCTCATTGTTTTTTTTATGGAGTTGAATGATGCACCCAACTTTCTCCTCCAGTAACATCCAGGAAAACAGCTTATGACCCTCTCTTTGATGGATTTGCACGAAAGCTCAGGTCGACTCAATCCGTTGTTGCTTGTAAGCATCAATAAGCAAACGTGGGTCCCATCTTGAACAAATTTTTCAATCATGCAAGACATCTGAGAGGATTGTCCCAATAAAACAGCACCCTTTTCCATACCAAGAGGCCAGCCAATCATTAAATCATCAAAGCTGACATGCTGATCTTCATCCATCGTATTCCAAACTATAACTGTGGCTGCAATACATGTAGCAGTAACTGGTCTACTAATGCGCCTGTCATCATGTACATTTTGCCGTCCCGCCCAGAACCATGACATTCGCGAATCATTTGGATGATCATTCATACCTCACCATAAACACACACTAACTGGTAATAAATACCGAGAGCCATTTAATTTTTTGCTGTCAAAAAGTGATTAACAGAATGGAGTTCATAAGCGAACACACTTTTAAGTGATAGCTTCATGGCAAATAGTGCAGTATTGGTAAACCCAGAGGAGTCACAGACTGTTGAAGGTCAACAAAACTGCAATAATACTGGGATGAATGTTCCTACAGGACCAACTAAAGTTTAAACCATTTTGTTTAAAGATAGAAAAATAGGGAAACAATAATTGGATGAACATGGGACTTAATGGACTGATTATGGGACTTAATCGACTAGAGGTGGGGTCAGCCTTTTGATTTAGTCTTGCAGGAAGCTACAGAAGGAACAAAACAAAATACTGAAAGAAATCTTTTGACCAACTAAAATAAAGTTATATTTTGTTACCTATTATTGCTCTAAACTCGTATGCAAACAAATTCACAGAAATAAAATGAATTACCTAAAAAATTACAGAGAGAGTATCTCTCCCTTTAAAACAGATATTCACTGCTGAACAGCTGCATCATTCATCAAGATTCCATTACGTTATTTTGGCATTCTACTTGATACTTCAGTGCCACCAACCAACCAATCAATATGACAAAAACATACCATACATGGATATTGTTTTGATACATTCAACTTTGGATACTAAAAATGTTTCAAGTGAAGTTGGCTGAAGTCTAGTATACGGTACAACTTGAAGTTATTTAAACTGGCAGTTCGCAAAGCTCCAGCAAAGGAGAACTCCACGGCGGAAGGGACAAAGGATGTTATGAGGGGAACCTTTTGGTGAGGAGGGGTGGTGAACAATATGCATAACTTATTAAAATTGTAAAAAGATACACTTCTGAAATAATGTTAATAGTTAGTGATTGGTCACGAACGTGACGTTAAAAGTTGGGGAGGAGGAGAGGTCATTTTCACTCTAATATCTTTTCGAAACTTCATTACGAAATGGTGTGTGGGGGCACATAATTCATGTTTTTGTCTACGTGATTTCCTGTGTCGGGTAGCTGTCGAAGTGGTTAGCTATGTTGCTGTCATACAGTTGTTTCTTGCGTTCTTCAGATTCTTTGTGATTTGTGTTTTTGAGTGTCAAGTGTCTGCACTATGATGGTGAGAATAAATGTAACTTTTTTACAAGTTGCACCCAAGGGGGTGTTTGGCTGTCATTGAATGGGCGCAAGAACGTGGCTTCATTGCTGCAGGATTTAAGTGTGTTGTGTGTAAGTGTCCTATGTGGTTGGCCAAGCGAAAGAAGTTGTGTGATGGTTTGAAGTGGAAGTGTAGCAAGAAAGGGGCGACTCATTATGTGTATAAGTGTTCTGTGCAGAAGGGGTCATAGTTTGCGGAAATCAAGTTGAGTATGATTCAGGTATTAGTAATGACCTTATCTTTGTTATAAAACCAGTCAAACAGCCATAAAAATCATCTAATGTTAAGTTTCATTCACTTCAGTCAGAGAGCTTAACGTAATTTGAGGGAGGGCTTAAGGAGACCCCTCGTCTCTTTCCCCTCCCCCTCCTCGCCACCACTTCTTTAAGGGTGTACCGTGTACCCTACTTTAACTGTGAAACTATTATTCAGTATTGTTCTTCACAAAATAGTCCCCTGGGATGCATCAGAGTACAATTAACCATATACAAGTAGCACAGCCATGACCGGAATAACTGAATGTGACAATCATTTTCATATTGGCTGGTTTTTTGATGCAATAACTACAACCCATTTATACGCACCTTTTCATTCTGACTTGCTATGTTATCCCAACTTTCTTCTCCATCCTGAAAATCTTCTTCTATCTTACACCCTTCTTCAGACTTCACAAACACAGTAGCTGGATATTCCAACTCCTCCTGCACAAGATAAAAAAATTATTTTAAAGCAATATAGCTTAATTTCCTTTTTAAATACCTTTGTTCAAAATTTTGACTTTATGTATTATTTACTGTTTGCTAGGGACAACTAATATTAGATTCTGTTAATTCTTCTGCACATCATAAATACGCTGCTAAGCAACTACAAATAAATCTCAAATTGAATATGCAGGTACCACTTATTCTTACCTCATTTTCATCCTCACTAGCTTCATTGCCTTGAAATGCTTCTTCATTCCAACTTTCCTCTTTTTCGTGGAACACATCTTCTAACACACGTCCTGCTTCATTCTTTAGTAAGACAGTAGTTGGACATACAAACTCCTTCTGCACAAGGAAGCAAAATTTAAAAGAAAAGCAATATCCCTTATTACACTATTCTGAAAGCTTCATTTTGGAATATGATCGTTCATTATCATTATCTTTAGGCTATAAACGAGCTCTTTTCCCTCTCTCATTTGACAATATTGGGTTAATCTTTAATTCCCTTTTATGGCACTGCGCTGTGACAAAAAGTGTTTTTAGTACTTGTATGGATTGTTTATTGTATGTTAAATAAAAGTAAGCCTAAACAAGTTTGTCTCTGGAAACCACAAAATTCCAACATATGTTTAAGACAAAGGTGTCTCTCAACCATGTGCGAATCCAAGTTTGCAACTGTCTGTGTGTGCTCCAATCTCCAGGATTTAGTTTGACGTGCAAATGTTACCAATGTATTTTCACACCAAAAAAATATATGCAAGTATGTGTTTCCCACTCCACGACACACATATACTCACAGTGTGGCCAAGCTAAAGTAAGGTTACCATCCTGTATTAAAGAATAAACCAATAATAGTCCATTGAAATATTGCTGGTGTTTAGCCTGTGTAGTGTGCAGAGAGTATCATATGCAGGAAGTCATAAGTCTGTATTAGAGTGAGTGTGACTTGCTCCCTGCGAGTCACTCGCTGGTATTCACTCTGTCCACACTAGTTTGTAGAAGTTTCTTATACACAGTGGCCCACAATCACCAACTTTTGAGCATATTTCAAACAACGTATTACCTACCTACAGAATACTGCTTACTCTCACAAGCAGTTTTGTTTTAAAGGGGGCAAATCAACCACTACAATTATGGATATTTGATAAAGTACCTAATTGATTGATTTGAAAGCAAACCTTATTCATCTCCAGTACTCTGCAATTTAATAAAAGCTTGCAACTGTTATAAACCCGAACGCAAGTCATGTCAACTTCGAATTCCCTACTTAGAGTTTGAAAACAAAATTAACTTCTTAACTCATTAAATAAAAAGAGAAAAAACAAACAACTCACTCTTAAACTGCATGCTTCCTCTTCAGTGACATCAACAGGTTCTGCTTTTACCTGACAAGAGGAGCAGAAATTTTTAGAAAACATTAACTGCTCCCATTTCAAGTCTCAAATATGATATTTAAAATTTTTCAGTACAATGTATTAATACGCCTACTCATGTATAAGCAAGATTATCGCATATCTCCTAAACAGTACATTTCCTTCCAACATTGTGACAGTCAATAGTTCTTTTCAACAACAACAAAAAAATGTAGTAGTAACAAACCCTTATAATTTTTATTATAAAGAGTTTAAAATTTGAGAACTTGAAAACAATATTATAGTTCTATACTCCTTAAAATACCATTCCTAGGGAAAACATGATTATACTACATTAAATTATAATACTTACATTTTCTATTTTAATCACACACTCAGACAATATTTCTATTTTCTCCATATTAATAAAAAATTATGTAGTTTACTGTTTCAACACGAATCTGCCTTTGACACTCTCAGAGTACTGGAAGAGGCAAAGATTATTTTACTAACACTGCTGGCTCTTCAACATCCATCACAAGGAGGAATATATAATGACAGTCATGTACACAACGCTGGGTCTTTTAAGTTCGTCCTGTCTGTTTACATTTTTCTTGATGACTATTCACTCAATAATATTATAATACTTATTTTTAATAAGAATTTCTTCCCTGCTACAGACTATAGATCTGTATCAATTCTTACAATATCATTTAGTGCAATAACGGAAAAATGTAAATAACAGGTAAATATCCCCAGTAAACAATCCCTAACCCCTAACATCTACCTATACGCATAATACAAACTGATATTTTGAGGCGGTGTAATTTCACCAAAAAGTATGTACTGGTGTATCCAAAAACTTTTAATACATTAGAATAACAGCTGACGCTCGCCTCATCCAAAGAGTATGTATTGGCCTCAATCTGCCAGGCGAAAGAACATGTTTCGCAGAGCGATACACAACTGTTTTAGAATCTGTCAAAAAAATGTATACAAACAAAATATAGTGTGTTTCAACTCGAGTATGACAGACAAATATCATAGACACATCGTCAAATTTCATCACGAATAGCGTATATTGTTTTTCTGTCAAAATTATCTTTATCGAGAAAAGTGAACCATGGATGATTGTGTTATGATTAGATGTTTGTTACTTCCGGGCGCGCAATTCGAACTGACGGCCTTCTCAACGAAACACGGCGCTCAGGACCATTTTGTTTTTCTTCTGAATTTTGTTTAATTTCACAACGGCAATTTAATACGTATCTGTTAGTAAAGACGAATCACTCATCGGGCACAAACACTATTTATTTAAATCCATGAATTATAGATTGTTGTTGTAAGTGTTATGTGTATTGAAATAGAGGTCCTTTTAGAAACTTGCTTCATGAAGTTTGTATTCTTCCAACTGGAGTAATTAAGTGTATAATATCAACCAAAATTTTTATTATTTATCAAATCTGTATTTACTCTTTAGTTGTGCACAGATTTCACCTATCCCCAGAGTGTGCCACACAGTTTTTAACTGTTTTCTGATGTAACACAACAGTATTGTTGGTACATGGGTCTTCATCCATATTGCACATGTTTTAATTATTTATGGTCTCTCAATTGTAGTTGCACAAATATTGTTTCTGATGGTAATGTGTTATCTTGCAAATTATTTTTTAAAAATCAATAATTTTCTAATCTGAGAACTTCTATCTTTATCTTGTTTGAATAATTTATTATAATTAATTAATAGCTTGGTCAGTATTAGATTCAATAATTTTCAAGGCTTTTTAAGCTGAGAAGTTATATTTTTTGTGAAATTTTTATGGATTGGAAAGCAAAACATTGAAAGAACCAAACAAAGTTAAAGTGGCAAAAACTGAAAAGACTAATGAATATTCTTGTAGCAGATTTAGCTTTGGAGTATAGGCTGTTTTCTAATGTATTAAAACACCAAAAATTATTAAGTTGTTCATACATCCTAGTCAATTTATGAATGCAAGTACAACATTCATTATTACAACTAACTTTGGAAATAACATTCACCTACTAGTCAATAACAAGATGAAAATAAATGGTAATGCTAAAACGTTCACTCTAAACTTTTTGGGAGTAACAAATCTCCTGAGGTGTTCAAATTTCATACATGTACAGTATACTTGCTAGCCTCATCACAAATAATTCAAAGGATCATCTGAAATATTGTGAGTAAGAGAGAGGTGTAGCCTAAACAAAGGAGGAATGACAATTGAAAACAATTTTTTTGAAAAACAGTATTTTTGAGTGGTTTAATTGATTTAGAATAAGGAAAAATAGGGAAAATATTAAAAACATACTTCAAGTTCAAACATAATTCAAGCAAATGCTGGAATTTATCTTAATGCATTCCAAGTGTAATAAGAAAGGGTGATATACAAAGGAAGAATATACATATGTATTTATTTATTTATTTGTTTCTTTATTGTTTTGGAAATTTTACTATACAGCAGCAGATCATAAATATACAGTATTTACTATACAGTAGATAATAAATTTACTATACAGCAGCAGATCTGATATTACTTCTATTTACATGCGATCATATGTAACTTCTATTTACAATTTAATTTTCAACTTAAAAAAATATAAAATCTACTTCTAAAATCACAGTAATAAGCACATTCCACTTCTCTGAATTCTTTTGAACAATTTCACACTTGATTTCTTCACGCTTCACAAGAAACAGTATGTCCGGCACCAGATTGGTTAGTTTTTGTTGCCATTGTTGTTTTTTTCTGGCTCTCACAATTCCATCTGAGAAATGAGAGCAAGTCACTTCAGAAGAGAAAAAAAACATATGCACATACATATCACAGTCTTCCTTTCAATTACATGAACACATGCTACTAATGTCATTTTGGATCGTTTCTTTTCTGCACAAGTTTCTTAACAATTTTTCTTCTTCTATGACATCCAGAAGTTGATTCGAAGTGAGTTGAAGCGCTGAGAATATTTCTAAGCATTAACAAACAAAAAAATTAAGAAAGGAATTATTTATAGCTGTATTTCCCCAATTTGACTGCTTTTTCATTTCTGGATTAAGTTTTCTTTAAGAACAAATATATTCATTTCTTTTGTAAATCATAAACAATGTTTCTGGAGAGTTTACATGCTTCTGCAATGCAAATTTTTGCCTAGAAACATTTTTTCACACAAACTTTTGAATGTTTATTGTGGCTCAGCTATTTGGAATATCCAAGTAGTCTATTAGACAAAATTTGCTTAAAATCGTCTTTAAAGCTTATTTTTGAAATTTCGACGTTTCCTCTCTGGACACCTGTATATATACTGTAAGCAAAGACATAACTGTTGACAGCCATCACAACCTTCAGTTATGTCAAAAAGAGCATTTTATAAGAAATAAAAAAACGGGGATATTGCAAACTGTACTTGAGGTAACAATTGCCCTGCTCAGGGTTCATCTCATTACCCTAGAACATGACTGGATCATACCTTATTAGGAAGGTATTTGTTTGCATCCTTGATTGTAAGCCAAAACTCACCATAAATACCTCCCATTTGAAAGATACCTTTGTTTTATTACTTTTATGAGTCAGAGTATGTGGATGATAAACTTGAATGTAACAGTACATAGCAACAAATGGTTTCTTAAGATTTCTTGCAAGTGTGAGTCAGCTCGATAGCTTGTGTGCCTGAAGATTGTTGAAACTCCATTCGCGCATGTTGCATTGGCAAGGTCTGTTACTTGTGTCAATTCATGTGTGTGCTGTTAAACCTCTTTGCATTATGTTCATATTGAAACATCATACTGACAAGGTTTCTTCATGGTGTGTATATGAATGTGTCCATATAAATTATCATCACACCTGAAATTGTTCTTTTGCACGCCAGACTGGATGTTTATCGGCTGTATGTGAGCGTACATGTACTATTAAATCTCCTCTGTCCTTGAAGTTCTTATTGCAGATTCCGCATTGAAAATTTTTCCCACCGATGTGTACACGCATATGAGTAAATAAATTTTTCATTTGCTTGAAAATCTTTTTACAGATGTCACACTGATAAATTTTGCCCTCAGTGTGAGAACGCATGTGTGCTATTAAATCTCCTCTTTCCATGAAGTAATAATTGCAGACATTGCACTGAAAAGTTTTCTCACCAGTGTGTACACGCATATGTGCAAAAAAAATATCTTCATGTCTGAATCTTTTCTTGCAGACTTCACATTTGTAAGGTTTGACGCCTGTGTTGCTTGTTAAGGGCGGCACAACCAGCCCCTCAGTTGAAAAGAGCTTATTGCTTGTAGGACAATGTTTCACTCCTATATGAGTGTTTGCGTGCGCCACAGCAGCTTCCTCTGTGCAGAAGTGCTCACCACAGTTACAAACCAAGTCTGCATAAGGTTCTCTGGTAGTCAGCGATTCACTGGAAGTGCCTGTGCCTGTTGACAGAATGTAGTTAATAAGCAAAAGTAACAAAGAATTTCATATCTTTATTACTGTTTAAATTCCTCTTATGAATAGGCAATGAAAGGAAAGAAAGCAAAAATTTGTTCACTTATAACTTTACTCCAGATGTAAACAAATACACGTGGCATTAACAGATATTTTTCTTTGGGACAGCCAGATCTGTCTCAACGGCATGTGTTATTAATCTCTGTTTTAAGCAGTCATCTGGACCAGCTGACAAACACCAAGCACCTTTCATAGATTAACCTGTATCTGCCGACCATCACTTCTCCTCATAATGTTGAATGTAACTTGATGACAAACAGAAGAAGAGGTTACTAGTAATTCAGTATCTTTCAGCAACTGAACACATCATAGGATTACTCTGTACAGTTATATTTCTCAGGAGGGGGAAGCATTCATTTTAATTAAGTTAACTTTAATGCACGCATTGAAGGTTTATTAGTGTGAGCATGTGCCAGCTTCAAGTCCATTTAACAACTGAAGAGCAAAGTTGAGCTTGGAATCAAGAAATCCTGCCAATATTTCTAAGAGAAAGTGAATAATATATTACACTGAAATTAAAAGGAACTTCTCAAGAGGAATGTGAAGAAAAAGAAGTAACATGTAACTGATTTCCAATAATTCTAACAGATTATTTTTAATAAACTTCACAATGAACATGTTTTCAAACAGGTTAAAAATGTTCAACAAGATAATACTGAGCATGTAGAAAAATAACCACTTTGATGTATAGTGATCATCCGATGGCTGGCTACTGCATCCCCAAGTCCACAGGTTCCAAAACCTAGGTTAAAGTCTGGGGATTTTAGAGGTGCCAAAAATTGACAGCGGGCATGCAGATGCTTGTTGGCAAGTAAATACAGATTCCAGGAAAGGCACTTGGCCGATCCTGGCAAGATAAATCCTCAAGCCAATTTAGCACCAATCATTTTATTTGAAGTACTGATAAGATTGCAGATATTGTACCTTGACCGCGCCTATCTAAGATTCAAATCAAAATCAAAATTAGGTGCAACTAGCGCCCCTAGGGAAGCAAGGCAAACTACCCTAGGTATTACTGCTCGCTCAGGATAAGTCTCATAAGAGATGCAGGGCTTTCGCGAGATAAGGCAATGTTGTGGGCAAGAAAGGATTTAAGTTAAATCTTTCCTTTCAGTCCATGGATCCCACTTAAGCATTCACTTACACTCAATACCATGCGCATTAATAAAGAATACATGAACAAATGTGTTATATTTCTTCTACTCACCTGGAATAAAGAACCGATCTTCTGCTTATTGAAAAGCAAGGAAATCCACTCTCACTGCAGGAACAAGGGGCCTGCAACACAGCGCAAAAAAAGGTTGAAATCACATTTAAACACCAGGAGGTTGCCCATCTGAAATCTGTTCCCACTTTTGTCCAGGGTAGTTTTTTAATATCATGGTTTGCACGATCAATAGGCTTGAAAGAGTACACAGAAATTTTTCGATTTCCTCTCCTCAAGAGTTGGGTTGCACTTACCAATTCTAAATCATAAATTACACAAGAATCTCACAAAATGCCCAGTATTCCATTCTAAAAAGTGTAGGATATACAGTTTATTATTTCCCTAAATAAACCATTATTCGTGGTATCATAGTGGCCATATGACAGTAACTGTTGTTTCATGTCCCTAAAGGTCTAACTGGCACATATTAAAAAACTATTTCTTCCATAATTATTCTAAACTATACTTCAAATAACTTTTTCTTTAGAACTGGTAAAATTATAATAGCCAAAATCTAAATACTTTAGTTCTTAATAAGAGTGAGTGTTAACATATTGAGATCCTCAGTTCTTCAAAAATACATAAATAATTATATACTTGTAATAAATTCACATTTTTTATGTTAGTCACTATGCTAGATCTTGTAAATTATTTTTCTTACAAATTTTATTTTGCTATAAATAATTCTTGTAATCTTCTATTGTGTTATATTTGTAAATTGGAGATATTAATGTCCATACAGTAAATAAATAAAAAATCTCTGGTTTGAAGTATCTACATAACCAAGTAAAACTGTAAAATATGCCTAAAAGCTAAATTAAGTGAAACAATTTCAACAAAGATTCTGACCAAAAATATGAATTTTTGAACTTGTTTACAAGTAGAAAACCTCCCCTGTCTTCTACATAATGGAAAATAATATTTCAGTTTAATTCAATTTACACGTTCAATGATATATTTCAATATTCAATCAAAATATATATATTCAATCAACTTTACTTCCTAATCTTTTAAATAAAAATTATTCTCACTTTAAAAATAGATTTTCAAAACTTTAAAAACTCAAATTTCCTTTCAAAACTTTAAAAACCAATTCCAAATTTAAAAAAAACACTTAAAAAATATTATTATGTACACTCAATAAATTATCTTAATTTTTATAATAAAATACACCCCCTAATATCTGACCGCCTTGCTCTAAAGTTACTACAGAATATGAATTGTTTCTCTAAATCTATTTTGCGTGTGAGTTTGTTGCAGTGAAGGCAGAAATTTATTTTCTTCAGTAAGAATATGAGTTACAAGTAAACGGTTTGTTTGAAGTTTGACTTGCCAAGAAGAGACACATGATTCCAGAAAATAAGAAAGAGGTTTCTGCAAGAAAACTTGTTGACATTTTTAAGCAGGGAAAGACGCAAACCAATGAAACAATAGAGAACAAAAGGTAATCTCCCCTAACTTGACTACCTTGATTAAGTGGTCACCTGTATTAAAGGCCAATTTTTGCCAGAACCATTTGATACTGCTTTAGAAATGTTTACCCTTACTAGTTATTTCTTCATTCTTACCCCCTCTTCATTCTTAATTGGTTTGTTTTCTTGAAATACTTCATCATTCCAACTTTCTTCTTCATCTTGAAATTGCTCTTGAACATCACACACAGCTTCAGTCTTCAGAAACACAGCGACTGGATGTTCTAACTCCTCCTGCACAATGAAACAGAATTACAACAAAAGCAACAGCCCTGAATTTACATTTTCAAAAGCTCAACTCTAAAACTTGATTCTAAGGATTATTTTTAGCCTGTTTACAGGTCATTCATAAATTATGTAATGCTTAAGAGAGGGAGAAGGCAGGCAGTGTTCCGTTTAGTTAGATAAGGGCAGGGGGTGGTAGCTTAGTGTTGTGTTTTTGGTGGTTGTTTTTTTCTTGAATGAGTAGTATATGGACTACATTTATTTCAAGTTTCTGCCTCTTTCTTCTTCTCTACGCTTCCATATCTCTTTCATTTTGGCCCAATGTTTCTTTCCTCTCCTCAGTCCAAATGGTCCATGTCTTCTTTTTTGGTTTGTCCTCAAATCCAGTGAATTTCTTGAGTTTGGTCCTCATTGAAGACCACTCAGTAAAGTCTGTAAAAATGTAATTCTGAGCTTCTCCAAGTCCTTTTCAACTTTTTTAAACCATATATTGGTCATCTTTAATTTTGTGAAATGGATTAAGAGTTTTCGGGTTAATTTTTGAAAGTGTAATCTGTAAAGATGTCCATACAATGTAATCCTTTTTTTCATTGTGCCCATAAGAGTAAATAGTGTAGTACATAGTGTTATGTAATGTTCATATTTTTTTTTTTTTTTAATTTTCAATATTTTCTTCACTTTTTTAATCTTCAAAATTGTCAATATTTTCTGAAATAATTCCTTTTATCTCTCTCATACTAAAACATTAAGATATTAACAAATTAAATTTAAAAAATATAAATACAGAAATAATAATATTATACAAATTACAGAAATTACTATGAAATTATTAAAATACATGGAAAAATTTTTCTCTACGACCATTAAATAATATACAAACTCCTGCTGTATATTTAATCAATGAATGATTTCGATTACAAACCTTGTGGATTCTGTTTGCAATCCACAGCCTGTCGACCAATCACATTCCTAGAACTTCGAAATCCATGGGTAGAATTGTAATCTTTTTGCAATTTGCACTTCTTTTGAACTGCGGTATTCAAGTGAATTATTCTGCAGTTTCATGACCTTAACCTAAACATTGTTGTACTCATGTTTCTCATTATATTTTCCAATGAACATTCAACAAAAAATTAATCTTGAAGCTAGAGAGTGTAAAATCATACACAACATTTATGGAGTGAAGGAAGAAAGGTGAATTCTTTTAGCAAGAACGTTTCCTTGGCTTACTTTACAAAACATTTGGAACAGTATCAACCCTCTAATTTATGGAAAATTTACTCAACATTAAGAAGCACATTGAACATACACAATGAAGTAAATGTTTGATGTAGATAATTCTTATACTTGAGTTCCAAATAAAACAAAATCTGTTCAAAATCTATTCTGATTATTTCACAGTTGTAGAGAAAGTACAGTCTTCAACTCGCACATAAAATTACTATTGTGCGTTACTTGAAGAATATACTATTTCATCCACGATAGATTGATTAAATATGTTACATTACTAAGAAACTGTTCAAATCACTGTAGTATGTTCTTAAGCTGGCAGAAAAGTCTCACCCATGCATCATCCATGACAGCGGATAAATGGCTAGCTGTCAGAAATTACCTTGCCACATTTTTCATTAAAAAATTATCTCCAATCTTATTGTTGGGGTCAGCGTCAACAACTAATTCTAAATTTAATTATCATTAGTTTTAACATGCAACTCAAATTAAAGTCTACAAATGTTTTTTATTTTTTATATAATTGGGAGGGGGAGGGGTTCAAGAATATGTCATGATGGGGTATTTAAAATACTTCAAATTTGCATTACATAATTTATGGATTGCTCTTAACTACAAATTAAATAATATTAGGGCAAGTAAAATTTACCTTTATATTATTTAATAATAAATTGCGTATTCTTTTGTAATGAAATAAATATGTTGCTATGACTCTATAATTACCCTCACATACTTACCTCTTTTTCATTCTGACCCGCTTTTTTGCCTTGAAATATTTCTTCATACTGATATTCTTTCTCATCTTGAAACTCCTCTTTAATCTCACACACTTCATCAGTCTTCATAAACACACTTGTTGGATGTTTTAAATCCTCCTGCACAATAAAATAATTGCAATCCTCAATTTACATTTTTGACAGCCTGTTTCATTAGCTCAATTTTATGTTATCATCTGTTAATCCCAAATTTGGTTCACACTCACACTACCCACTAGCAGTTCTTGCTGCACAGCTGAAGGGTAAAGTAGTTTTTGAGAGATAGTTTTCAATGGTCAGGGTAGAGTTGTACCTGCCAAGTACCCTGCTGTTTATTGTGTAGCATTATTGAAATTTATAACTGCTTAATTTTAGTGAAATGCAATTAAACAGTAAGATAGTAGTAATTGGATTTCTTAGGTTACAAAAGGAGGGAGTTTGTGAGGCAAGTGAAATGTAAGGCGTTTGCTACCACTTGAGAGTGGTGCAGAACCACATGCTCCTTTATTGTCTCAAATGACCAAGTACATTCATGCAAGTGTTTTTCATAGTTTTACTCCAAACGACAGTGCTCCAAGTGCTCAATGGACAAGAGCTGGCTCGGTGGCTCAGAGCGACGTCACTCGCCTTTCACCAAGTAGGTCTGGGTTTGATTCCTGGCCCCCTGTAAAATTTGAGTCCAATGCCTAAGAAATGTCCTAAACCATACCCCTATTCTAATTCCTTCCCAATTCTGGCCACTGGGTAATGATGCAGGAGCGTATAGTAGAAGGTGGGCACACGGAGATGCTACCTGGTGGTCCCCTTGACAACGATTGCAAAGAGACGTGACATATAATGACTTACATAGGTAATGGAGCATTACTTCTAAGCACTGACTAATGGAGGATTACTCCCACGTGCTAAGTGCTCAACGCCCCCCAAGAGGCTGACAGATGTGTTGCGTCAATTCAGACGTAACAAATAAAAATAAAAGAACCTTCCTCCCTTCTTCACCTCGTCCTCCCAGTCACTAGTCTCTAAGTGTGTACTGGCTTGTCTACTTTGGCCAATAAAGGCATACAGTGTTTTTAAAAGCTGGCATACAGTGTTTTTTAAATCAATTATCATTAATGAAATCAAGAGAAATTCACAATTTTAAGTTTATTTAACTCAAAATTTCAATTACAATTAGGGCAGACAAATGTGCTGATAAGTATTGTAATTGCCAGGCAATTAATGTAAATGACTTACCTCTAGTATCTGTTCATCTTTCACAGAACATTCTGGTACAGTGGACTCACATGGTTCCTGAAAGTGACAAAGTATTTTACGTCAATTTTATTATAGTTTCATAACAATTATCCAATTCATAATTCAATATTTGGTCCCTCCAACTACAAGTTTAATTCCCTCCATTTCTTTTCACATAATGTGTTCAAGTATTTTCTTTAAAATATTGCTATATTGTTGTTAGAGTGCAATTAGAATCACTGATGATGGTTCAAAGAAAAACAAACAAAAGAGAAAGAAAGTTATTTCATGTATCAAAATTAACATTTTATTAAGTAATCAAAAGTTTTATTATATTGTTTACCACAATGGAATGAGGATTAAAGAAATACCCAGTATAACAACTTTTATACCTGTATTTCAAAATGTGATTCCTGGTTTATTAATCTTCTCTTTATAAAACATGCTTGGGAAATCTAATTTTTATATGCATATATTAAAAAAATTTGGAAGATATTTTATACATATTTGAAAGTGTAGGACACCATTGCCAAAAATCTGCTTAAATTTGCTACTCTGATTGCTTAATGGGCAATGGATGCATTAGATATATTTAAGAAAAATGTATAGTTTTGGAGATAAGCTGAAAAGAAATCAGCAGGTACAAATTCAATTTGTAACACACTTTATGGTTTTCCATCATGCATAATAGGAAATTTGTCCTGGATCCTTAAAACATGATTTTCAGGTCCCCAAATAATTTTTCTGAGGGTGTAATCTATAAAAAGGGACCTTTTTTGACTGTATATTACTTTGGAGGTTGAGTTCCTTCTGTTGAAATTCACTCACTACCACTGATGACAAAAACATAAAGAATCTTAAAATGTAAGTAAAATTAAACCGCCTCTCAAAGATATTCTATGCAATTTAATTGTACACGTCTAACTCTTTGTTAACAAATGCTTAGTAATATTAACACATTACCCACACACAGATTTTTCGAAATTAAGTACACAGTTAAGGGTATGGGCATTTGAAATTAGGTTCCAGTATAAACCTTTTTTCATTTTAAAACAATGATTTGTAAAGTGTGGCGTGTTCACATAGGCCAGCTAATATATATTAATTCCAGTGTTTCATGGTATGTTTTGTTTTTATTTTAGCACCACATTACCTGATATTGGCCAAAGTTACAAAGTTAATAACTCCTTTTAAGGGCCTGAATAGCCTAGTACTAATAAATTAAATATATATCATAATTACCACTGGTGAGGTAATCAAAACTGTTTTTATTAAAATTTGATAATTGTAATAACAAAATCAGTTAATTAAATTTAAAATAAAATAATGTTCTTTATATTAAAATCCATTCTCCAAACCAATAATTTATCTTAAATGTATGATTTAGAATCATTTACATCTTAGATGCTGCATGAAATTAGGTATTTGTCAAAAACTACAAAATTTGTTATTTTTTTGCTTTGCATTAGAAAATATAACCCTCTTTGTTAATTCTCAAAATCAGTAATAATTTTTTGTTAATATTAGGCCAACTAGTATTTAGAACAAGTTTATGTGCTCTTTTATCACTCTCTCATTGCCTGTTTTAAAGAAACTAAAGAAAATGCTGCATGGAGGTAATTCCGATTTTATAAATTCCAAAAAGCATTAACTTTGTTTAAAAATAGCTTTGTGTTCTATACGTTTTATTCAATGTTCACATAGAGTCGAAGAAAAAATGATTTCAATGCTCTTGTGTTCGCGATATTTGCGGCTGCGTTCAGCGATGGTCAATAATTTAGAACTGCGATAAATCAGAGACGAATTCAGAGCAGCTTCGATTCGCTTTGTATTTTCGCGGTACTTTCTGGTGCGTTCAGCGTTGGTAGTGCGTGCGGCTGATGTCGATAAGACACTGATATTAGCAGCCCGACTTTTCTTGTTTTCGCGATATTTGTGACAACGTTCCGCATCAGTATACATCGCTTAACCAAAACGGAGTCTAATACCTAACATGGTCCACTCAAGACAGTTAATGAGAATGACAGTTTTACCTTCGGGGTATTGGAGTACGCGTCCATAATCAATGTTGTTTACGTGTACATGTGGGATGGACTCTTTTCAAAATCAGTCAAACCACATGTTCTCAAAATAAAATGTATAGTGAATTGAACTTTCATCATATGGGACGCTGTAATCTAATCGGGAGCTTCCATATCAATAATTAAGATATAACGATGCTTCCTATTGGTCAATCACTTCCCAGCCGATTGCTGTCACTTTGCCGTACGTTTTACTCGGAGTAACGCCATATGGCAGGCAGCATACGTCATGACGCTGCCATAACAACACACCCTCCACCAATTAGGAATGACCAGTACTAAGCGGCACTTTTAAATGTGCGGCCATGTCTCATTCTGTAGGAATTTGATATCTTTGATATGTACGTGCAAGTTAGTGACCTAGAATGAGAACAAATCAATTAAAATAAGGAGATTTTTACAACGAACAAGGGAAAAGTAATTACTAATGACCAGCAGCAGCAAAAATGCTGCTGAACCAAACTCGGATAGATCACACCTTAAGAATGGGAAAGAAGCAGAAGGAAAGGTGGCAGACATGGATGCACAACGGCCATGTTGTGAACTGAAAACGAGTGGTGAGGAAGAAATCCGATAGAAACTGTTAAAAGGAATACAGAGGCTAAATACATTTTTAAAAATTATTATTTTAAAAAATTTATTGTATATTGTATCAATATCTTAAGTGTAATGTTTATAAATTGCCAGTTCTGTCACCACTGGCCAGTTTGGCAAAGGTTTCGAGTTACACATTAGAAGTCTCTAGAACTAGTAATGAAAAATACTCGTAAGTTCTGTTTTACAAAGATTTCAATACTAGTGCATGCCCAGAATGAGAATTACCCACAATGCAATTCTATTTTCTGCCGTCCTGTGAGCAACGCTGAGAGGGCCCCTTGTTAGGCTTCTGGAGAGTAAATGTAACTTCACCCCCTACATTCAAGATGTGCGAAATTGTACTCCCTCCACATACATCATATTTGACTCATCACACACGATTGTAATTGTATGTGACTCAATAAAATATTAATATTATTACTGAAATAAAATGCACGTTTTCGCGTTCCTTGGAGTTGATTTGACTGTCTGCCTCAGTATTTCTTGTCCGTATTGCGTCGTTGTCTTTTGATTTTGCTTACACATGTTTGGTTGTCCTTCGTATTGTTTATTAGGGGGTCGTCCATAAATTACGTAACGCTAAAGAGGGGGGAGGGGGGTCTGAGGCAGCGGTATAATAAATGGAAATATTTATTTAACCTTTTTTTCCTTTTTGAATCTGAAAGATTACGAAGAAAACATTCACACCTGATATTAGATATATTCTAAAATGCATTTACATTGGCGTTGTAGACTGTCCCTCTCGCATCGTCCATGATGGCGAGTGCATAGCTTGTGATCAACCATTTATCACCCAAGCATTCTTCTTCCACTCACAATTTGCCTCAATCTCATTATTAGGCGTATCACCAACTAATTTCTACTTTAATCATCATTAATTACTTTAATACACAACACAAATAAAATAAATACAAGTTGTTTTTAGTGTTGTAATTTATTTTCATTTCTTGCATTTACGCTTGTCACAAGCGTTACGAAATTATACGGGAGGGGTTCATGCGTGACATTGGTGCATTACAAGGGGGAGAGGGAGTATCGAAAATACTCCAAATTTGCATTATGTAATTTATGGACGGCCCCTTAGCCTTTTATTTTTAATATCAGTTCTATTTCCTTTTACTTTCCGCCCTTCTTTTTTACCTCCATTTCAGTCTTCTCTATATAGATAATACATTTTCTTTATTCATCTTAAAATTACTTTATTTTCCAGTGATTTCTCTTAACTTTCTTTCTACTTACTTCTTATATATTATTCTTTATTTTGTATTTTATTCTTACATTTCTTTGCAATGGCATCCAGAGGCAACGAAATGTATGTTTTGGAGAAAATTCAAGACCATAGGCACATAACATTAATTGAAATTCACGATCACTAATAGGATAAAGTGGCTGATTCCTAAATTTAAATACCTATGAACACACAAATATAACAATATCATCACTTGTAATCATAAATAGTTCAACACAAGTATCTAAAAGCGTGTAACAAAATACTGCTCATTTACAATTGTTTTAGACTACTAGTAAGTTCTGAGAAACAGAAACACTTGCTTCTTGTAGAATTTCACTTGTGAACTACTGGGCATTCACTTGTAACTATTAGTGATTACTAGGGGGCGGATTTTGATGACCTAACAATGATCGATAAAATGCTTTTAAAATGTTTTTAATATATTTAAAAAATAAAAATTAAGAAAAAAGTACAAAATTTGATCACAACTACATTACATGAACAACTCAAGCTGTTGGATATGTTATTAATGTAATCGAGGCTGCTTCCTTTGGTTCAAGTAAACGCAGCTAGCAAACATTTAGTTTGGACTGTTCTTTAAATGTAAATCTCTGCCATCATTTATTGCAAAATAGGCTGAGCTGACAATGGCACCTGTAGGCATCACAGGAACCATACATTACATAGTACTTACTTAGATTACATGGGACACACAACAACTCACATTACATTACACGAGTAAAGAAATCGAAAAGACTAGTTAGGAATTCTGTAGCCAACATTTGTGGTATCTTGTAAATAGTCTTTGAAGCAAGTACTATTAAAACCAATGAAATCAGCAAATAATGCACTAAAAATGACTTATTAGTTGAAATCGATGAAAAATACAAGAAAAAAAAATTAGTATAAAAATGGGTAATTTTGTTTGGTCATAAAATAAAATGAATTTCTGTACTAAACGGCATTGTTCTAAAGGAAAAAGAAAAATTATTGCGAAACGTGATTATCTCGGTTCTCATAAGTTAACAGTGAATTCATTTGTAACTTGTGGACTTGTAACTTCTGTAAAAAAGGCCCCAAATTACATAAACCTATCTCCAGAAATAATAAAAATCTATGTATTAAAGGATGTAAGCAAATGAATTTAT